ATTTATATTTTATTATATTTTACTATATTTATAAGTGTATATTTATATCTACAAAAAATTTGTTGCATATAAATATGTTTTTGAAGACTTTACTATATTTATGTGAATAAATAAATAAGAAAAATATTTTCATTTACTTAAGATATAATTTCAAGCTTTTATGTTCTTCAGCCTCAAATGTGTAAACATCAAGGGCTCTTGGCACATTGTTATGTTAACGGTGTCTGTTGTAGTGCGTGTACTGACAGACTGCATGACATGCAGTTTGACACCTTGTAATGGCTGAAAGTGTTTAGGTGTTATCTTATCGCTGCTTGTCATGTGTGTGTGTGTGTGAGTGTTACACATGCTTTTTATTTTTTGGGGGCAACAATAACATTTTGCTTGCGATTGGGAAGTAGTTGGCGTCAATTCTGGTTGTTCTTGTTGTTATTGGATTTACTTTGCCGTTTCTGTTTACAAAGTGGGCGAATGCACTCGATTCTTGCAGCAATATTTACTCATGGCATATATGTATGTATGTATGAGTATATAGACAAAGTTGTCTGATGACTTTGCTAATTAAAATTGAACGACTCGATAATTATGCTGTTATATTGTCTCTAACAAATAGTAATTTTGAGCTGTTGCTGATATATATAAACGAAATGACTCTGCATTGCCTGCAACATGAAACATCAAAGTGAACTCTGGCTCCGTTGCCAGCCCTGCGACAGGCAGGCGACACCTTTTGGCTTCATCAATCATTTTTATGTGCACTGGAGGCGCAATAGAATCAACCATATCGACGCTTCTGTGGCCAGCCTTTTAAATGTGCACACAGAGAGAGGGAGAGAGAGAGGGAGAAAGAGAGAGAGAGAGAGTGATTGAGAGGGGGGGATATATAGACACTCTCAGCTAGCTGTAAGCGCTTATCGGGCATGACGCTTGTTTAGGTGTTTCCAACAGGTTACGACGACGCCGACTCCGGCGAACTGTTCAACTGGTTTGCTGAGCTGCTGCTGCTGCTGCTGTTTATATTTATTAATTATCGTATCGATAATTCTACCATCTGTGAGCTGAGCTTCGAGTTGTCTCAAAAGCAAAAATCAAATGAGAGAAGAAGAAAAAACACCAAAACACAAAAAAAGTTCTGTCTTGCTGCTCTTTGTGGCCGTCAGCAAGCAAAATAAAAGAAATAGAAATAAAAAGCAATATATAAAAGCAAATACACACACACACACATACAGATACAAGACAAATACATATGCATACAGAGCATAAAGTTTAGCGGCAACTCGTAAAGTTTTTCTCTGCCGCATTTCAGTTCGATTCGAGCGATTTTCGAGCGCGGAGCGTTGCGTTGCCTCGTTCACGTTGAACTAAAAAAGAAATAACACTAAATAAATAATATAAAAAAGAAGAAAAAACATTTTTACAAAATAAATCGTTTTTTGTTTGTGAAGTGTGTTACGGCGCTGAGTCAGCCGAGAGTGCAGCAAGTGAATAATAATAATAGTTCATGCAATGTGCTTTCTAGTGCCCGGATTCGCATTCAAATCTGAAGTGAACGTTGTCGCCATGGCGTGGCGTTTCGCTGCCAATCAAATTTAATTAATTTCGGGCCTAGAATTCCCATTTGGCCAAGAATAGTGTGCATGCCAATTAATTAGCCAGCTGACTCGAAGCGAAGCCATTCAGCATGAGTGTGAGTCTTGGTGATATTGGTATCGGAGTGGGTAGTTTACCCGGCGATTTGCTGTCGTACGATGAGTCAAAGTTTGCCCAAAAACTAACACACCTGACTCCCACGGAACAGGAAGCCGTCAAGCGTTTTTGGAGGTAATACTGATAAGCAGATAGGTATATTTGTGCGTTGGTCTCCCCACTAGCTCCACATTGAGGCCGGAAAGCCTAATTAATTGGGCGCTGTTTAGAGATTAAAGATCGCTCGTTAGACGCATTCAATGTGGCGGCTGCGACGCCTCTCCACGTGGGTGTGAGTTAAAGGTGTGAGTGTGAGTTCCATCTAGACCCACAAAAGTGCCAAGATGTGGGTAACAAAGCGAACCGCTTAAACATACAAATCAAATGTGACATAGTCCCAAGCTAATTGCTCAGAGGTGATAATGAAAAACCTGTTATGCGGCTTAAAGCAAAATGCCAAAAACTTTGATAAAGGGATTGCTTAAATAGATTTTTTTTTACCAAAATCAAACAAGACTTTAAAATATGCAATTTTTAAAAGCATTTCAGAGTATGTTGGATTTAAAATAGGGTTTGACAGCTTTATGAAACTACGAAAATTGAATTAACAAATATAAACAACAATTTGTAGAGTATTTTGAATGAAATTTTTTCTATATATATTTTATAAAATAAT